GGCGCGCCAGGTGCCCACCTGGTGGGTTACCAAGTTGAAATAGCAACCAGGAGCTTAGCATCGCCTACTCACTGCCTACACCGTTAGGTTAACGACGTGAATGCCGCCGTGAAACATATGGTTCGGATGATAGTCAACAACTCTTCACCGAAGACCGTGTCGATCTACGCAAACACTATCTCCCCTGCGGGGATCGAGCAGTACTGGCGATCATGCGAAATCTAACGGTATGGCCATGAAATAAAAATCCAAATCTAAGTTTGATTCTTTTACACATTTATGATGCTGTTATACAAAAAATAGTGTATGTAACGCGTTTATAATGTTGCTTTATTACATTCATACAAATTTGAAAACTCGCTCCTAAAGGCCTCTACGCACGGGCCAATTTTTCGGACCGACCGTCGGGACAACGAAATTGGACTCTTGGTTTCACACTGTCCGACCAACAACCCGATTTTTCAGTAGTGCTCGGAATTTCGAGAAGGCAACATCTATGCAAGCAACACAGTGCGAGCACAGTGGTTTCCCGCCTCGAAAATCTGGACAAAATGAAAAAAAACCTATTTAGAGATGTTTATAGTCATAACAGTTTACCCGTATAGTCATAGAGTTAAACTACAGGTGAGGAACACGCATCGAAAAATACCATGAGGACGAGGTTATTAAATTTTGACAAAGTTTTTTTACAAATATAACACGAGTTAAAAGAAAAGATTTAGTCCAAGTGAATACTGATAATTGTTGCTTTCTTTATGTTGTTTTCATTCTCATTATTATTGTCAAAATTTCTTATATTTGTACCGATTTTGAAAAGAAATTTGCATTTTTCGTTTTATTTACTTTTCTGCGAAATTTTATCCGTAATTTTATTTCTTGAAATTTTCGACTTCATTTTCAGGATTGCCACGCGTCCTACTTTCGGTAGTACACTCCTACAATCACAATGAGTGTCCTACGTCCTACAATGAAGCCTAATGTGTCCTACTTTGAAAATAAAATATTAAGTTGTTTTTAAAATAGTTAAGTCTGTACAATCGATTTCTAAACGCCAATTATTAACTTTAAGCTTCGACAACGTTTCGATTACAGACTGTTCAACAAATTCAATTCCCTTTCTTTTTTCCCCACATAAGACAAACTTTGCTAAAAACATTCAAAATTCTTTTTCAAACTTGATTTTCATAAAAAGTCAAGTCTTTCAGTTTTTGCATGACTTCATACCCGAAAAAGTGTTTCTCTATCCTAGAGGAGAGTTGTTGCTTGAAGACATTCAAAATTGCATACAAGCCATTCTCGTAACAATCTTTCTACACAAGGTTGTATCGATAAACATAGAGTTACAACATGGCATGAAAAATCAGTAAATGCAACATTAAAAAATTCACAAAAGCTTTGAAATTCACTTCTACGTACCGATGATAAACTAAAATGTGCGTTGATTTTTAAAACAAGGTTCTCAATGTCTACAGACAAATCTTCCAAAGCATATCTCAACGCATTGTGCAATATGTGCGCGTGACGACTAGCTTTTACAATATTCGGATTTACTTTTTGGAAATTGACAAAGAGCGAATGAATACGACCAAAATTGGCGTTTGTTTTGTCAGCACTTAGACCTGTAACTTTTGAAAAATCTAAATTTAAATCTTTAAAACAATCATTGATGCAAGCCAACATGCTATCTGCAGATGCATCGCAATTTTCGTAAAAATCGATAATATTTTGCTGCAAATCATCGTTTCGTGAAAAATACTGTACCACTAATGGAAAAATATCCTATTTTTCTTGTTAGATGTATCAGTCATAATAGAAAAATACGAATCGTTCGTTTTTATTTCGGTAATAACGTCTTCTAATATTTTTGGTCCTAACACGTTTTAAACAATTGTCTGTGCTTCTGTCCATCCACATAAAATTTTTCAAGAGTTATTATCTTTTGGCAATACTTCAGGAACAAGTTTCATCAAACAATCTAACGAATTATAGGATTGGTTATGTTTTACTGCATGATATATGTGAGCTAGTTCAATTGCAATAACTTGTAATTCTTCAGGAGTATCCTTTTTAATTACGAATTTTTTCATCAATTGAGAACTAGCAGATGTTTTCATCTTCGAGCGATGATGTTCACTATTTTCATGCTGCTTGATGGCTGAGACACCTTTCAATTCAACAAAAAATGTACTTAAACTGTATTTGCACAGGCCTTGAGAGTCGTTTACTATTTTAAGCCACGAACATTTTTGTAACCAGTTGTCATTAAAATGACATTTCCTTTCCTTATTTGAAGTATCCATTTTTACATCTTTAATATCTAAAATAATATTGAAGATATATCAAAATTTAAACAGAAAATAATTATTTTGTTATATTAGAGTGATTATTTTTAGAGGTTATATTAGTCGATTATTTCATTTGCAACGACCTAATAATATATTTTAAAACATAATGGACTTACAATTCAAATCTTAAAAAATTAGTTTCAAATTCAATAAAAAACAGGGCAAGTAGAAGCTTAGCCACCTAAAATTAAAATTATTTTGGATTGATAAGTGTGTTGAGCTAATTTTAGGAAATTTAAAAATATCATTTTTAATATCAGCATTTATTTCCTTATAATAATTATATAATATCTATTATCATAAAAGTAATGTGTATAATATATTACAATAATTTGTAACTTACCAATTGTTTACAAATATTTGTTCAAATAATTTAAATAATTAAATTAAAACTGCACATGTAGTTGTTTTGCAATTCGCAAAAAAATTGGTTAAAATACATTTTCTTGGAACCATACATCATTTGGCCATCACAATTCAAATCCAAACGGAGCGATACTAGCGCTTACTGCAGAGGCGAAAAGTGGAAGTTTGTAGTAAAACGCAAATGTTTTTGTTGGGTTGATAAATTAATGTTGTTATTGTGTTCATAAAATCATATCAATTATGTGGTATGTTTAAAGAAATTAGCGAAGATAGGAGCGAGTTCCTTTATTTACCACGAATGCAATTATACGCATTTATAAACGTGTTACGTTCAATATTTTTTTCGTTTTCATTCAAAAATATTTTTATTTTGAATAATAAAAAAATATTTTAGCATTCCATATTTACTTTGATTATGTCATTTTCAATCCGAAGAAGACTAATTTTAATAGGCCTTGCCTGTGTATTTACGATTACCATAGTGACTTAATTAATTTAGAAAGCATGGAGGATTACAATAATATTCCGGACGAAATATTAGAAGAAGCTGAAAACGCAATGAATGCATTGCTCCCTACAAAAAGTAAAGATGTCTATGAAAAAGAATATAATTTATACAAGTCGTGGAAAATCGCTAAGGGAGTCACACATAGTAGGGAAGAAGTGTTATTAGCTTATTTTTCAGAACGGATAAATAAAATTGACTTTTATATTTTTCACATTTGTAATATTTTTACAACAAATGTTTTATATTTATTATTTTAAGTTACTTATGTTAATATTATGTGATTTTGTTAGTCAACTACTGTGAAACCAAATTATTACACGTTATATATTACACGTGAAACATAACAAATTATTTTTTTATAACCGTACAGCCAGTAAGCATAAATACGTTTAGAAAGATCCCAAAGGAAACTGCTAAGTTTTTAAATATTGCAGAAGCACATTTATTTACAGGGAATTGTTTCAGACGGACTTCTCCACTACTGGCCGATAGTGGAGCAGATATTTTAACTGTCTAACGACATGGTGGGTGGCGTTCTTCTGCTGTAGCAGAATGCTACATAGAAGATTCCATCCAAAATAAAATACAAATTGCAAAGCGTATAGCTGTGGGATCAGATTTATCAGTCGTAGCAGTGCCCACTGCGTCAACAACTCACAGTGCTGTCCCTGGGCCGAGTCATATTGAAATTAGTGATGTAAATATTCACAAGTCTTCAGAGTTGGTTCCAAGTAACGCTGGAGTAGTTTTTTCAAAATTAACTAATTGTACTTTGAATATTAATATATATAGTAGTAGTAAGTAAGCTTAGATGTGTTCATAATGTTTGTTTTTCATGTTACACGGAACCTTTGAATTAATAATGAAATAAATAAATTTTTTGTTTATTTATTTGTGTTTCCGTAGAGACTTAATTAAACGAATTTGAGCCTTTTGACGAGTTCTCATTGGTAGTTGCGTGGTTTCAATTGCACGCGTGCCATTAAAGTAGTGATAATAAACGATTTTTCATGTAATTAATGAGCATAATTCATTGTAGGAAACGAAAAATATAAAAAATGCGCGCAAGAGTGATGAAAAAAGAGTTCAGACAGTTGAATGCGTAAGGCATTTAAATAAATAACTTAAATTAAATTATATATACATATATTATATTATATATATATATATATCATATATTATATATATATAATATATATATTATATATACATACATACGAGTAAGCATACATACATGTATATTGTGTGTGTGTGTGTGTAATGATGTTTTTTACGTGGGCAGGGGAAAATCTTATCTAAAGACACACGCGGGGCCCGCAACCCGCAGCGTGTGGGATTCATAGCTAGCCATGCCTAACCCACTAAAAACCCCTCCCCTTTCCCTACCTATTCTTCCCGCGGAACGCGCCGTCAGGCATTGCATCGCGAGAAGGAAGGTGAGCTTTTTCGCACGTCACGAAATTAATTACGGGAGCTCTCTTCGTAACTGCTCCTCGGAGCGGAGCGTCTTCAGGGACCTTTGCGGCATAGGCGGCTACCGCACTCCAATACTCTTGTGTCAGCAGCATCCTAGTGACGATGGTCTCAGGGGTCACTTCCTCTTGGAGGAGGCTGTGAAGTTCTTCCCGTTTCACTGCGAAGGCGTGGACAATGAAAGAAACACGTGTTCTATCTCTCTCAATCGCCGGGACAACATTCCTTTGCATGATGACCTTATGCGTCCAACGGAATCGGAGCTGGGTTACTGCCCGAGCGCGAGAAACCAAATGGATAACATCCATTGCCCTGTCAGCATCTGAGTTAGATAAAAATCTAATTCTCCATGTTCCCTTTGAATCCACGTCAGGCGCTCGTCGAGATGTACCTTGGAACTCTGTGTGTGTGTGTGTGTGTGTGTGTGTGTGTGTGTGTGTGTGTGCGCGCGCGTGCGTGTGTGTGTGTGTGTTCATATTCGTAATAAGTGACCTCCAAAACCCCTCCCTCCTACGCACACTTCCCCGCGCTACTCCGCCAAATGTGACGTCATTCTGAAAAATTCTTCGGCCACATGTTACATCTATATTCACATCATAGAGTAATGATATGTCCTCCTTACTCTGTGGTCATATTCTTCCATGGACAAATGCCTATGTGGAACATGTTGGAGAAGAGTGGCAGCATTGTTTGTTAACAGTTGAGCATCGAATTTTCTTCACATGAGTGTGTGATTTAGATTTTGTGGTTATATTTATCATCCAAGTCTTCTGAGAGAGTGGGGAAAATTGTAAATAGTGCAGTATGTGGTTCGAATCGGATGGTGTGATTGACCTCTTTAAAGAATATTTTCCCTACTATCTTGTAATTGTTCTTCCTATATTTATTATAATATCGCCGGTAAATCCTGTACAGGCAGCACATGAGTTCCCTGCATATAGAATGCAACAGTATGATTTGCACGGTGTGCCTCATGGTAAGTGGCAGGAAAATAGTATGTGAATACCTCTTGAGCAATATTGTCACATTTTGTAACGTTTCCCTTCTATTCGACGTATGTAACAGGTTGTCGTTACTCTCCTGTGAACTTGGAGGCGAGATCTTTAAGTGGTTGGAGTACAACTCGCCACTGTGTCGTGGCGCGCCTGGAGGATTTAACATACGATCAATTCAAAGAAATACACGCCAAAGCTGGCGCGTTATTAGTTATTTTACCTCAAAATATTGCAAATCTTGAAAACGATGCCAAAGAGGTAATTATATTGAGTGATATATTAATGCTTTTTGTCCATACTTGTGGTTTTGTCAGGCTTATATTTTAATAAAGACTTCTTCAATTTATCATTTGTGAGGTGACTTGAGTGAATTGAAACACATGGTTTGGAACAGAATGTTGCCCTCGATATGTCAAGTATGTATGATAACTACTGTATTTTAGAAAGTATATGTATGACTCAATGTTTTTGAATTTACCTTCAGGAACTTCATGACATATTTCACTTTACAGTATTCTGAAATATTTTACAGTGCAGAAACTGTATAAGATTCTAGTTTTTTGTATTAACTGAAAATGGGTAATAAATGCTTGTTTGTCATCGTTGATGCCCTGAAAGTCAAGTGAATAAGCTTGATAATAGATATAAAACAGTTTCTAAGAAAATTATTGCTTAATGAAATATTGAAAGCAATTGAAATTGTCGTGTGTTCTTAGAACATTTATTCTTCAAGTTTTAGAACATTTTTTTATTATATAATTGGCAGAACGCTACAGTGCTTTTCTTGAAGTGTTGGCGGTAGTAATTCTGAGATTTGGGATGTAAATGGAAAAAAAAAAATTGTTGATATCTACTGTTCCCATCATACTGTTGATGAACTTTGGGCTATTTTTCTAGTTGGTATCATTTTACAGAATTAAATGAATAATTAATAATGATACAAAAGAATTTGAAATTTTTACCCTTTTGAGTACATCAGAAAAATATTATTGTGCATCTCCTGGTCAAATCGTACCATAAACGGTATGGTGATAAATTTCATATAATCCTTTCAATTGTGGTTGAGGAAGGACAGTCAAGAATAGAAAATTCCACAGTTGTCATTGTGAATCTGTGCATGCATCAGTAATGCTAGATGAAAGAATTAGCAATTTCTATGAATAGTTTCACCCATTTGCTACTAAGTGTAGAAAAAAACATTCTTGTTAATTCGTTTTACAAACAACTACAGAGGACCGACATTTACATTTAATTTAAATTTTGTTTGGATTAGAATGTAGGAGAAGTGATTTGTTCAGATGGAGATCACTCTCCCATATAAAGTGCTGTTTTTGAACAATTTTTATAAAGTTTGTTCCCTAAAGATGACTGATTCATTTAAATGTGCTAAGATTTTCTCTCTATTGAAAAATATCTGTAGGAGGATTTATTTCAGTAATTGCAGTATTCCGACAATAGCTTTTTACTTCAATGTAGTATAATAATCCTTTCTTGCTAGAAAATTGTGGGTAGCTATGAATTAATAATGAGAACTTCATTGCCTTTTGAAATTGTATTTTAATTCGATTGTTTATGAAACAGATGTTGTATTCTTGCATTGATTAATTGCCAATACAAAGTCCATATTATTTAAAATTAATTGTGTTAATTTTTTTTTGAAGAATAGGAAAACTTGACAGCTACTTTTCCGTCTGCAAACTTCAAAAAATGTTCACTCAGCAATGTTTGTGCTAGGGTTGGGCACACACGAAATGAATGAGAATTGCATTCTGATGTCTTGTATATTATTGAGTGCCATATCATAGTTAAATAGTAACAATTCTTACAAAAATTCCTATTAAATTAAATTAATATGGTTAAATATTCTATGCAAGACTTCGGTGTGTGAAGAATAAATTAGAAAATTTAATTCAGATAAAAAAATACAAAATAATGATTTAAAAATGTTAAAATGAAAATGTAATAAATTTTCAAAAGGAGCTGCACTTAACCAAGAAACGTGTTTACCCACAGTTGATCTATGCGAGAGATTCCAAAACCTTTTCTTCCATCGGTCAATTTTAAAAGAATGGTGTGCTTCATCGACCCCCTTACATTGTTCATTACAGAAAATACTGTACAACAAGGGTTCCCAATGAATCAACCCCCTGGGGCTCGATGAAATTTTGAAAGGGGTAAACGATGATCAAGGGGTTAAATAGGCCCAAGGGCTTTACAGCTGAATATGAACCAGCAATTGATAGATATAATCAAGATCCCATTGGTTACAAAAAATATTAAACTTGATGATTTATCTTTTTCTGTTATAAAACAACAAAACATATAATAATAAATTAAAATTTTTTCTTGTCTTCTTTCCTATCCGTCATGCATTTTTAGGATATGTGGTGTACAACCAGTGCACCGCACTGGGCTCTCGAAGTATAGGTTGCTTATTAAGGACCCTCGTGGATGGATATTGACAAAGAATATAACAAAGCGCTCACCATGCTAATTTTCTCTGTTTCACCATCCGTATTCTTATGCCAGTTACATTTAAAACTCTTAATTTCATGTTTATTGCAGATAGGGGGTCCCATTTTGACTTTCTGACCCAGAGCATCCAATAGCCTACCTACCCAACTGCTTAGGATATTAAGAACACTCAGCAAAATATAACTATGTATTAACAACAATAGTCTATCGCGGTAGAAATTACTCCCTCTAATATGTACTGTAGAAAAGGTATGGTCAGTTAAAAATGATCAATATTTTGCAACTGTTGCACAGCGAGAAGATTAGAAATGCAGTTACTCTGAAGTGAAAGTCTTTGAGGATTGAAAATCTGTGTGATATCAAAATATTGGTCTAGAAAATTATTATCTGTGAGTCATTTATGTTCAGTTGTTTGTGTTATGATTATGTTTGCTGTATATGTTAGAGAATCACATACAGGAATTAATGGATCAAACAATTCTATTAAAAAGGGCCGATGAAAGGAGGAGGTTGGGAAACCCTGTCATACCACATTTATTTGTTGTGTACAAAATATAATTCTACAACTCTACTTGATGTGGGTTGCATACCTCATCTTGAGTATCTCCTGAATTAATTGTTTTAATTGTATTTGTGCTGTTTAATTCTTTCCATAATTGACTTGCATTTTTTCCCATAACACTAATATGACTACTAATATTTTTTTGTAAACAATGGGTCCTCGATCTTGATTACACCAATTTGACGCAATATTTAACAACAGATCCCCCTACTCGACTCCCTAATCATCGTTGACCTTTAAAATTTCATTGACTTCCAAGGGTTTGATACCAATCCCATTGGAAGCAGTGGTCTATCCTAAGCATAGTATAATAATGTTTGTCTATTGTGTATGACATATGTAACTTATTTTATAATCTGTGTACTGCTGTTGTACCTTTCTTCTGATATGCCATGCTGTAGACGTTTTTTTTAGACCAGAAAATATCAATGTGGATGCTAACTGATTTTGCTCTTCTACAGGAACCCTTTATGTTCTGTTCTCTATAAGATGTTATAAGCATTTTTTAAAATTATGTGAAAATTATGTTTTTTATTTGATTACTTGTCATTAATATCGACATTTGTGAAATGCACATGATTTAGAATATAAAAAGTGTATTAATTTTGTGATAATGGTAACATCATTATCACATTTTCTAAAAAAAATATCTATGCATACAAATCAAGGCATGTTGTTCCTGTTTAAAATTAAAGATTGCTCAAGTGTCTTGAGTAGAGTGGAGCTGTGTTTGTTGTCTTTAGTATTTTCATCTCGTCCGTGGTAAAATATATTTGTATATATAATTTAGAAACTAATTGTTCCTAACGATAAAATATATTTAACTTCTATTTTTAATCCTCTAGCAAATTCTGCAACTTGAGGAAGTGATGATGAAACAGGAAGTTTTAATTCCTGTTTATTTTGCTGAATGGTCTCAAGAACTGGACAGCATAGTAAATGACTTGTCACATAGTTATGTACCAGAAGATCATTCCAATTCTGCACTGCAAGGCAAGTTCACTATTACATAGCATTCAGACCACCTCGCATAATTTTTTTTTTTTTTTTTTTTAATTTAAATAATAATGGGATTTTTTTCCCCAACTATTCTCATAGATATTACTTTTTAAACATATGCAGTAGGTAGCTCAATTTTGCCTTTTATTCTGGTTTAATATTGAACTTCTGAGACTTTCTGGTGTTTGACTTTTGTAGTGATTTAGAACATTCTCTTCAGAATTTAATTATTCTGAATTTATATTTTTCAATCTGAACTGTATCGTCCCCAACAAAGCTACCAAACTACAACATACTTGTGAAGATAAATAAGGTAAGACTGAAAATACCTAAAAAAAGGATATTTTTCAGGAGTTTGAAGAAAGGCCGTAACGAAAATAATACATCAGAACCAAGGAAAGTGAAGAAGGTAATGCTGCTTCCTGGTCAGGCTCAGGACCTCTTCACAGTTACACCTATTTTGGAAGATTTGAACCTGTGCTTGGAAGGCTGTATCCAACTTATGATCAGGCTTGGTGACAAAATGCAGTAACTGAACATTCCAGATAACTGAAGATCATACTCTCAAGCCAACTCTTTGCCAAGAAGATTCCCCTCAACGGAAAATGCTTTGCGCTAGAAGTGAGAGTGAAGAACAATATGACCCCAACTCGATGGCAAGAACATATCCCACTCCAAGATGAGCTGAGGGAAAAGCAGAAAACGAACCTTAACTTAGCAATCGAGTTCTTCAGAGGAGTTCCGAAAATTGTAACTAAGAATTCAGGAAACGAATAGAGGTAACAGCTAGCAGTGTATTAGCCGTAAATATTGTTCATTTATTTTACGACAAAAACAGTTAAAACTGTTGCGATGAGCCTACTTAAACAATATAATTTATTATCAAGCATTCAATCATCACGGTAGAAAATAAGTTATTAAAAATACTTCAGCATCATGAGGCCTGAATGGAATGAACCAACATTAATAATATAAATCATTTCCATCTCCATGTGGTCGAATAGAAAGAGCAGGGAAGCTGGGAAATATGTTGACATCCACTTGGACATCTCACTTTCTAAATGACATTCCGGGGGAGATTCCCTCAAGAAGCGGCGAGGTATTTAGAGGGACCTCCCAAAGCACAGAGACGCTCAGTCTTCTACCTGTAGTGTATTGACGCTGTATCGCCACCTACATCAACGCCCTTGTGACAGTCATCGCAAGAAGAAACAGCGATATGGCAAAACCAACAACGAGATGCCCGCCAGAGAACTGGAGACAATGGTAAGAAGCAAACGGCCGACATGAGGGCACTTGACATCCTTGTCATCACTCCTTTGCACTTCCTTCTCTCTCACTCTCTTTCTCATCTCTCTCCTATCATTCATACTTCATCACATGTGGCCCGAATGAAATGAACCAATATAAATAATATAAATCATCACCGTTATTAAAAATTATATATTTTTACTAATATTCCATTGTCATGTGGCCGAATAGAACGAGCCGGGAAGCTTGAAAATATGTTGACATCCGCCTTTGATGATGTTCCCTGGGAGATTCCCTCAATATGTGGCGGGGTTTTTAAAGGAACCTCCCAAAGCACCGAGATGTTCAGTCCTCTACCTGTAGTGCATCATTGCCATGTCACCGCCCACATCGACACCCGTGTGACAGCCACGGCTAGAAGAAACAACAACAACAGGCTAGCAGCAGCAACCGGATGCCTGCTGGAGAGCTGGAGGCGATGTAAGAAGCGAACTGCCGACAAACTGCACAAGTGTAAATTGTAAAAAGTGATTATCACCCAATATCTGAAGTGGGGAAAGCCAAGCCCAAGCTGTGGCAAAAAAAGCGAACAATATGCTGATACGGAAGGCATTTGCTGACCTTGAACCTTGATATGAGACGGTTCAAAAAGCCTGTGTGGCATACACAAGACAAATGCTAGAATATGTCAATCTAATCTGGTCCCCTTCATACAAAAAATATATCAAACGTCTTGGGAAAAAAAAAACACACACACACAGAAGAGGTTGTCCAAAATTCCAAGAGAGCTATAGCACTGTGAATATTAGGATAGATGCAGACACGTGAAGCTACTCAGTCTGGAAGAGAGGAGAGAATGAGGTTATCTGGTCGCAACATACAAAGTACTTTGTAGAGATCTCAAGGTCGACATTTTTCATGATCTCTTCATCAGGTCAATAACAGGCTGGGAATGAACTACCTGGGGGTCTGTGAGGTTGCAAGAAGTGTTGATGTAATTAAAAATATGTGCCAGGATAGATTTTCGGTAATATTATATATTTCTTTTTATTTCAGTTCTCTTCAGTTGCATTTCTGCAAATGGTTACCAAATTGTAATTGGTACAAATCAAGCTACAGCAAAACAAGATATCAATGTTGCTACAATCCAGGTATGTTATTGCATTTTATTGTGAGAGAAAATTCTTAAGCATTATAATGATTCCGTGTATTGATCATAATAAAATTCCTATTCAAATGGAACCTATATTTGAAGTATCATATTAAATAGAAATCTAATGTGCATTACAATGTGTAACTTCACAATCTATTAATTCATAAACTCCTTTCATATCACTTACCCTAATCTGCTATCAGTTTCTTATCCTCATTTAAAATGTATTCACAACCCTCACCTTTCCCCAGTTTTCCCTTCTTAATTGAGATTGGAGCTAAAAACGACCGAAAATTTTCGCAGAGTCTTCCTGTTGGTTTCTCAAATCTTTGATTTTATTTGGAGTATGCGGTGAAATTTTATAAATGCTTTAATGTTATAAATGTAAGATGTAAGTATTAGGTATTTATGACATTTTTGTTTAGGGCAAACTGTCTGGATATGGTGTTGAGGAGAAGTTACCCACCATAGCTTTAGTTGCACATTATGATAGCTTTGGAGTTGCTCCAGTAAGTATTCTTATATTCCTTGGAAAATTATTCACTTAGAAATTTTGTGAAAATACACAGTGTTTGTACCTACATGTTGTATGTACAAAATCATAAATTACATTTGTGTAGTAGCTTTATATATACATTTATTTTTGCAGGAACTTTCATTTGGAGCTGATTCTAATGGTTCAGGTGTAGCTATGCTGTTAGAATTAGCTAGGCTGTTTTCTCATTTATATTCAAACACAAGTACACATGCTCATTATAATCTAATTTTTCTCCTTACGGGAGCTGGTAAACTTAATTATTTGGGAAGCAAGAAGTGGTTGGAAGATCAACTAGATGGCCTTGAGAGTTCAGTTGTTCAGGTAATAAAATGCATTTGTTGCTATAAAACAATATTATTTAAAATGGAATCTGTGTAAAGACTCGTTCACAATGGAAACCTAATGCAAACACTCATTAATAAAGTAATGCATTTCTTCTAACTTTTAACAATACATTGTTAAGTTTTAATTTCTACAATCGGTCACCTCAAACAATTAAGGTGGTTAGAGCGAGATATTCCCTAGTAGATAGAGTTCATATTACATTCAAAAATATCTATTTGCGAGATAAGTGGGTATTGTGAGACCTACATAAACAAAATAGGGAGTTTTATGCTGAGTTTTATTTAATTATTCGATTAATTTCATTTCATAGATAATTTTGTTTTATAAAATAAAAAAAATTTAATACGGTATAAAGCGCTACCAATGACTAGTTTCTTAACTAGTATCAACAGATCGCTACGGAATGAAAAATTGAAGCATAATTGAACATAAAAAAGCACTATTACACAATTAGTTCAAGCAGAATCGTAAAAAAGTAACATTATAGACACATATCTGTATATTTTTGTACAGTGATCACTAATAATGGCAAAAATTCCCATGTTTAAGTGGAGCGAAAAGTCTTTAGTCAATTGGGCAATGCCATTATGTCCTTGAGATTAGCATGACTGCTCAGGGCTCATGCTTTCAAGTTTCGTTGTTTTGAATCACTTTGAATACTGTTTGTTGTCGGTCGACACACGGTAAATATCACTATTTATAGAGATTTCCAAGTGGCATAGTCTTTTCTAATCGTTTGCTTTGATGTTGTACTTAAAATTAAAAGTTAGAATGTTTTGAAAATGAGACATGAGAACCATTCAAAATGCTTTACTACTATTAAGGAAATACAAACAATTAGATAAAATGTAGTGCTGAAGAAAAAAAGGGTTTCTATTAAAATAATAAAACTACCAAAGTCTAAATTTATATTTCCTCTTACAAGTTCAATAAAATGTAATTATTAATTACAAATGTAATTATTAAATTTGTCCACGAGCGGGCTCAGATACTGTAACCCTTAAAGCACAAAACTATACTGGGCACTCCTTCAGAAACATTTTTAAAACTAAAAAACTAATTATGAATAAATCTAAAAAACTCTAATTTTGACAAAAAAATCATTGTTCCAATACAGATGTGAATTAACAAATTGTTTACAAAGTAAAAATTGCTTTTTAAATTTCACATTTACAAATACATGTTTGGTTTCTTATTGTTCATTCAATCTATTTTTAAAATCAAACTTCGTTCCGTAAACTGTTTGATTAATGATTATTCATAAAAAAAAACTTTATAAAGTATTTAATACTAATTTTAAAAAATCCTGGCACGGGATGAGAATCCCAATCCTAATTTTGCCAGGAAGAAATCCAGTTCTGCACTCACCTATACCTTGAATTCCATTTGAAACAGTAGGTTTCCTTCAAATGGCGCATATTGATTCTTTGAGATGATGGCTACCAAAAGAAGTGTTTTTAAAAACATTTTTAACAGTTAATTTTCTCACAATTTTAAAATTTCAGGTCAGATCTGTCTGGTCACCATAAGAGCCCATGTTAAAACAGCAAACTTTACAGTCTTGTTACGCGAAAACTAGATGATAAAATCGACTCAAACTCTACCAGAACATAAAAGAACCTCGCATCTTTCGATTATTACAACAAAAAAGGCATGTTAAGCAAAACCTGTATCTCGCTCTAATCACAAACTAAAATTAATTTCCAAATGACAACTTTTTAACACTACATTGCATCTTTTACTTTCTCATATTGTAGCATTAGGAGCATTTGCAGAATATAGAGAAAGTTACGTAATACTGAAAAAATGGATGCGTAGATTTTGACAGAAATATTGTTTTCAGGGAATCTCATGAACAGTTTATTTTTCTCCTTTTTCCCCCCAAAATTTCTATCCGTTAATGACACTAATGCCTACATTGTTCGTAGGAATTTATCCAAAATTCATATTCTATGATCAATCTGTCAAATCTGCAAATTCAAAGCCTCTTTAAGTTTTTGAGCATACTTAATATGAAGCCTTTAGAACATTTTCAGTTTTTTCTCAAAATGAATTCGGAATCTTTTGCTCAAATAGAACAAAACACCTTTACAAAGATAATTTTGGGTTGATTTTCAATAAAACCTGAAATTTTGTAAAATTGCATGAGGTTTTGTTTTGTTAACTGCCCTTCACCTTCAATATATAAGCTAGCTTGTATTCAGTCAATTCATGCAAACTTTTGTATGTAACCTATTCATCAGAATTAGATTCTAAATCGTTTCATGTGGAGTTTTTCAAAATATTCATAGTTGTTGTGCAATTTGGAATTTTATCATAAGAATTGTACATCTTCAGAGTTAGAATTCCGATTAGATATGTAGTTTTTCTAATCTTTTATACTTCATTTAGTGAAAAATTTTTTAGAAGGTAGCTAAAGTATTGATGTTTCAATATTATAATATAACAAAACCATTGCAAAGAATATGAGGAAGTTTGTGCTGTTGGAACACCAAGTGTGTTATCATTTTCCTTCTATATCTTTTTTTCTCATAGTGCTCTTTTCTATTTCCTCCTCAGTCTTCATATTGTTGAACAATTGAGATTACTGTTAATGATATGGTTGAGCAAGTGACTAGAGCATGAAAATGATATGTAATTTTATCTTAATATTAATTATGTTTATATTATTACATAGTAATAAGTAGGGAACAGCTTTTTGGGCACTAAAAGTTTTTAAAATATGTATGTTTTTATGTTATTAAAACTTGAAAATGTGCAGTAAAAATAAAGCTCCTGTCTTGCTAATATGATTATTACTGAGTTTATTTCAACTTATCTTGTTTTCATAACTAAACTAAGTACTCTGAAACATCCTTAGACTGCAGTCACATTTGAAGAACTCAGAATTGTCTCTGTGTGTCTCATTGCAAGCTCTACACTTCTCACACACAACCTCATCTTCCGTCTTGAAATTCAACTCCACACCAACCAGGTGGATGAGTTGTAAAGTAATTAAATTCCAAAAGAGCATCCTTCTAACCGCTTTAATGTGAGAAAAATATAAATGGAGAAAGCACACAAAATGTATATTGGGAATTCATTGGCCATTGGTTATTCAAAAGTAGCATGAATTCATTTTACTATACATGCACTTTCACTCATATGACTGTGAATGAATCGAAAATGTACACAACTTCACAAATACCACTATATTAAAAAATCTTGATTTGTTTCAGGATGCAGCATATGTGTTATGCTTGGACTCAGTGTCATCATGTGGAACATTGCATTTACATGTTTCAAAGCCGCCTAGAGATGGAACTCCAGGCTCTGTTCTCTTCAAAGTATGTTCTTATTATTGTTAATTTGTGAAATGTGAATGTTATGCCTTGAATTGTGAGATGTATGTAATTTCAATTGTAGGCTAAGAGCAGTGCATGGATGTGTTTTCTGAGCTTAGTGTTATAAAATTGCACATTGTATCCTCTTGTCTGCCAAGAAAATGGTAATCTTGAGTCTGTATATTTCTATGTTAGATGGCTGTGTAATTATATGCTTATGCAGTTACTGTTGCATGTGGTAGAAGAACCAGAAATTATGTAATCAGTGATTACAATGATTAGAAAGTGTAAACATGTTTTAATAGTTTATTGGCAAGTATCCTATTAGATTTGACTGAGCCAGGAATCAAGTTCATGAGTTCCTGATCTTTGGTACTTCTAAGGCAGTGGGAGATTAATTTGACATATTTATTTTGTGTTCTTCATGTGCAGATATTTTTGTCATTACATCTTTATTTCCACCATGACATCTCCTACTGCAAATTCATATACACATTCATATTGTGTAATCATATAGTTAAAATATTGCATTAATGTTGACATGTTATAAGTGACCAGCCTGTGTTTATTATGATTTTGTCGTCTGAAAGGGGGTGTTTCATTAATCCTGAATTTGCAGCAAGTAATATGAATAATTCAGGTTTCACGTTTCTTAGTAAGTCCTATTAGAGGGAAGGAGCAATTTCAGAACATTTGATTTATGGGTTAAACCAGAAATAATTGCTCATTACAATGATTGTAAATTTGTACATGCAACCCTTTGATCTTATTGAATTGGTCTTCTTAACGTAGTAAGCAAATTACTGTGAAATCATTATATTTAGCAAGATTTTATGAAATTATGGGAAAATATAGTGATGGGAAATGAAGATCTAGTTTCAGAAATGTATCCAATAACAGTATATTTTTTTGACATATTCATGGATGAACTTAAATTGATCTGGTTTTTTTTGTACTAGTAATCAGTCTTTTGATTTTTTATTTATGTTTTTGAGATACATCCAGAAAGACTTGTTTAATTTTATGCTTTTGTTTATAAAGCAGCTGTAAAAATATTACATTCTGAAGACACAAATTTAATAAAGAAATAATGAAGTATATTAATGAGATTAGATGGCATTGTTCTCATTGATATTAATACTTGTGCCAAGGGAACAGTGGGATTATCCTTATCACTGATTTCCGGGCTGCAAGTAAAGCTTAAATTTTGTTATTAATATTTCATTTTTGTTATTATGGTAGACATGGCAGAAAAATAAGTGGCATTATATTATGATTTTTGACATTAGATCATTTCACTATTCCACTTCAGTACTTTGGTTTCAAGTGTCATGCTACTCCAGATGGAATGCTTTTAGTACTGTTCTTGATATGCGTATACATTCACCATTTTCAGTTGTTTACTCTACCTTTTAGTCCCTTTTGTGTGATATTACTAGCTTATTTTCATCCTTCCGTTAATCCTATTTTATGTTCTCCTCTCAATTCTTCAGAAGCAAATTTTACTTTACTTTTCATTATGTCACTCACTTGCCTTTTGAAGCCTCCTAATCATTTGTTTATGTTGCATAGTTGTCCCTTTAACGTTTGAAATGGCGAAATAGGAATGAAAGTGGAAATTTCCTCTCAGAAATTTCATATAAATTTCACTTCAATATTTTTCTAAAAATCTCCCCAATTACAAGTGGCATGTTGAAATGACATGAAACCATACCTGAGTTTTGTACACGTTTGTGTAAGTAATAGGGTACTGATTTGTTTTCATGATATCTTAACAATTACGGTATAATTTGTGTAACATTACACGAAAAGTTGAAACACATTAAAGCGTGCGGTTAAAACACTCCTGTGCCCTAACAGCATTGTAACAATTTATGTTAGATATTAGAAACTGGTCAGTGTGAAACATGTTTGTAATGCAAACCCATATGTTTGGTTATTGAATTGTTTTCAAGTTGCTGCAAGACCTTGATTATGACAAACATGAATGCTCTCCCTGTAATGTATGTAATGGATTAAATGAATCACGTTTATGATCACAAAAACAATCCTCATTTGAATTTTTTCAAGTAATATTTTTTATGTTGAGGATTAACTATGCAGAAAATTTATTTATAGATAAATTTAAATATTTTTGGAAATCTTTTGCATTGTTGCAGTACGACCTGTGAACGTGAGATTCCAAACAAAGATGTAAAAAAACAATAAACAAATTTCATTGGGAAGATTGGGAATACTAACATCATGTAGAGTATAGTATGATTTATGAATATTAGTAGTAAATAAATAATAGCATTACTTTTTCATAAGCAAAAGAGCAAGTTTCAACAATAATGTAGATTGAAATAATATATGTTACAATATAAAATAAAACTGAAGTATCAACTGTCTGCTTTGAACACAAATCATGTAAACATAATTGCCTAAATGTGCATGAAATCAAGGCAGAGGGTAGATGTATTTGTAGTTCCTGGTCCATATTTGGTGCTTGTTTTTTCCCATCTGTAGTATAGCAATATTAAATGTACCTAAAATATATTAATTAAATTATCTGATCTAATGTAGCTTGGTGCCTTCAGTCAGAATTTTTATGTAAAAAAGAAACGGCTATTTTTGTGCTATGTAAGTTCATATTAAAAAGGAATTGTAAACTTAATAAAGTCTTGTGCATCATTGGGTATAGAAATTTTCGTGGAAAATATTTTTTTTCTGTAATTGTATAAATATGATGGCTTTTATGTACCACTACATATGCATTAAGTTTAGTCTGTTCTTAAAACTTCTGAAAAATGTGATGTTACTGTAAAAAGAAATACCTTTTTTCACTAGATGGTGAACAAGAGATTGTGCTTTGTTTCAGTATCAGATATATCAGTTTTGGCAAAAATCCCTCAGTTTTGATGGTGCTAAAAGAAGAATTTTGTGCATTTAATATAAAATAAATAAATTTAGAATGATTGTTTCATTGCAAAATTAGGTTTAATTATTGTCAAGCTGGTGAAGTAAGTCCTAACAATTTGGTTTATACAGGAAAGGCAATATGGTAAATCAGTGTTCGCGACTGTAGCATCATGAAATTATCCACAACCCTATCTTCTATGGTTTTTCCATAATGTTCTAAAAGGATCTGGATAAAGTTATACTTAAATCCCCCCAAAAAACATATTTTTTCGAGAATTCTTGTAGAAAGTTCTGAAAGGATCCAGAATGAAGTGGTCAGTTCCCCACTAGTAGACAGACACTTGAATGATTTTTGTCCTGAATGGTGAAACAGATGTAGTTAAATTAACTGTTATTAATGAACATATACTTGCAGTTTCCCTGATTATGATATGTAGGATTTAAAAGCTTCAATTAAACCACATTTATTTTATTTTCAAGCATAGTTTGTAATGAACCACAGTTTTGAATTTTTATGCAGCATTCAACATTTACGTGTTGCCTTGTCCCTCATAATATTTCATAGTCAATTTCATTGCTAAGAAACTTACTTGAATCTTTTTATTCTTCAGACAAAATGTCATTGGCTGCACCATTCAAGTGTTAAATCATAGAGGAAAATCTTTATTTCATCAAACTAAGAAGTAGACACCCAGTTATAAAATAGATTGCTAACAGTTTTACAATGCTATATTAAACATCACAAAAATATATGCAATGTACAAGAATATGAAAAGTCATTGTAGTGATAAAAACTCCTAAATTTCTCCAAAATATTGTTTTTTGTGCAACATTAAGTAAAACGATATGTATGAACTCCTCTCTTCAGGGTCGTTATCATGGGCCTAGGGTCTCATTTTCAAATTAATATTGTCAATATTTCTGGAATTAAAAAAGCTCTGGTTTAATATTATACTCTCCTATGTGCTCATTACATACGTTTTAGTGAAAACCGCATCTCAATATCTGCAATGATTCAGGAGATATTCGAAAGGAACAACATCTTAAATGAGCCATCCTGTATGATGATTTATGTATAATTCCATGAATGTACCATAATGTATCACTGTATAACTATACAAGTTCTGTTGTAAGATGTGTGTATATCAGCTAGTTGCTGCCACCATTCATAATAATGGTGATGATGATGATGATAAAAGTACATTTGCTTATCATTCAAACAAGCAGGTTTGCGAACATACATTTTGGCTCTTATTTCATTTGTTATACCCTTTCTCTGTAGGTATTAAGAGAATTTTGTATTAAGATAACTTTGAAAGATTAGGAATTTTCTTGAAGGGACAAATTCATAATTTGTGTATCTCACTTTAATTTGAACTAAGGTGTTAAATGGCAGTCAACTATTGTATGATATATTAAGTTGCCTGTGTGTAGTTGTGTTTAACAACTATTTTGGCTCTGCTACCATTTTCAATATTTGTTAGTTGTGTGATATTTAATTTAGAAGCAGCACTGTAACTACAAATTTCAAAAGTCCAATTTTTGTAGGTGTTTTCTTTCTCCACTTCAATTTAAACCATGAATTGTTGCCTTTCAGTTCTTTATAATTAACTATATTTTCTGTGTTTTGACAGCAATTATTTATTTTTTCTTTAGGAACTGAAAGCTGTTGCCAGTTCTTTTCAACCGGAAGTAAATGTGGAAGGCATGCACAAAAAAATTAATCTGGCAGATGATGTTCTTGCTTGGGAACACGAGCGTTTCAGCATCAGACGTCTTCCAGCTTTTACATTATCATCAATTAAGGTGTGTAAGATTTTACAATGGTGTTAAAATGAAAATTATATAATTTGCTTATTGCTATCTGCTTATTTATAATTTGTATGTTTGATTAATTGATCCACATTTGAACTTGCTTCTATGTATTGCACATGCATTACGTGCATTACGCTAGCCACTGGTGTGCAGAAGCAACTTGGTTTTACTTTGAAAGAATTTTATAGTTATTTAGTTGAAATCCTGCCGAAAAATTATCAGTTTTTCAATGTTCAATAAAACTTCCAACAATTTTTTGTGTGTAGAGGTACTCTCTTGTGTTCACATAATATGTTACTTTTTCTTTTATTACTAGTACTATAGAATAAGTTCAGTAATGTTGCAGGAAAAAGTGAATTTTTTTTCGTCTGAAAAAACACATATTGTGGCACTCTGATACCAAAAAAAAGTATATAATTCTTTCTCCTCTATGTAGTAAATTACTTTGTTGTATTCATAGTGTAGCCAGAATCCACATTTTGTGGATTTTGGTATCCCAAGGATCCACATTTTGTGGATCCTTGGGATACCAAACAATGGGTTTTCTCAAAACTTAAATTAATTTATTTTCATGATTTTAATTTTTGAGGATTGTTTATTATAAATAAGAACAAGGAAAATTCTTGCTTGAAGTACATAGTGTACAAGAACTAGTTGTTACATTATTTTCAATGCTTTAATATTATTCCTACTAATATTGTATTTATGTACGTACGTACGTACGTACTTACTACGGCAGCCCGTGAATGGGCTCAGGCCTTTCAGCTGCATCCCTGCCTCACACCCATGGATTAAAGTGGTATGTGTGGTTAGTATGTAGACGTTCACATGCCGTATTCCGGTCTTCTCAAACTGAGGAGTGAATTTTCTCATCGTCACACATCACATACTGGGACAGTGCAAGGTAAACTCACACTATAACCTTGCTTCACCAGGAATCGAACCCAGGGCTGCATGGTTGAAAGTGATCGTGCTGACCAACAGCTAGCCACGAGGCTACTAATATTGTTCTAAAACATAAACATCAGATGATTCATGAAAACTTATATTGACAAAGAACGAAGGACTATAATTTATTATCAATTTTCCAACACCTGTTCAGAAACTGTCTTTTGCAAAATTCAAAATGATTCAGTAGAATTAGATGATGAGATAAAACAAATTCATTTTTAATATGTTATTACACAAACAGTACACACAAAATTGACAGTTTTTTTAAATTTAACAGATTTTCTGATAAAATATTGTTTAGAAATTTATTTCATTATTGTCCATGATACCATTTTAATGAAAGATCTATTTGAGGAACGCACTACTGTAAGTTAAAGAATGAGTATGTGAAGTTCCTATTTTTAAAATTAAAAAGTTTTCTTGATGCATGTGAATGAAACTTGAAATAATATTTTGCATTAAAGTTTAAAGTGTCTGTGAAGTGTATTCTTTTTATTCATGTATTACAAATTGGGATTCATGACCATATCTTACTAATGATTCTCTATCTTTGTCCCTCTCTGGAAGTTATTACACAAAACATCAGTTGTAGGAGAACAAGTTTGAACTTCAATGTAGTGGCAGTGGCAGTAATACAGGGACTTTAGCTCAACTTGCAACCCTTGATAGAGAGCACTTGTTCTTGTTTCGGTAATTTGGCAATCGCATGTCTTTGGCACCTTTCTAGTCATCCATGCTGGCACGTTGAGGCAGCAGAGGAGGAGGCGACAACCAGGTCATAAGCTGCAGCAACATTCCTGCTTCTGTGTTTTTCCCATTCGAGAGCTTATATGAGCAGGAACCCGGCTCACACACCTGAATCTTTTTGCACTACACAGGGTGTTTGGGTGGGGTGGGCAGGGCCATGAACAGGTATATCAAATCACCATATCTTTAGGTGAATCTGTTTAGTATGCTTAGAAAACAAAACTGTAATACTGAAGATGTTGGGTCAAGTTATTGCTGATTTATTGATTTATTAACAGCCACCTTACAATAATTATTGTTTAATGAAAGACAGCTCAGAAAGAAATCAAAATGATATCTCATGAAGCATTATTGCAAGATCTTCATTGTTTATAAAACAGTAATAATGTAATATTATTATGGATTCTTATGAATAAACAAATAAAACCTTAATAAAATACTTAATTATACAAACAATAATACTACATACTTAATTACTACAAATACCAATGAAACATAAATAAGTAGTAAATTCATTATTGAAAATAAATGATAAAAATAATAAAATATAATTTCCTTAAAATGACAAAAAACTTACCTTCGAGTAAATGCTCAAAGTGACCACCATTTGCCAAGAGACAGGCGTTTACTCTTTTCAGTGTAATGGCTACAGTAAGTTGATGAGTAACAAGGGCTGAATAAGTGCTTTCTCTTTCTCCACATTCTCTCAGCTTGCAATCCGAAGACACACGGCCAGGAGTCGCTAAAAGTGAAAGGGATGCTGAATGGTATTTCACATTGCCAAATTGCCAAAAGAACAGGTAATGTTTCCAGACATGGGTTGTGAGTTAAGCTAAAGATCCTGTGTATATGAAGATTGTGAATATTGTACTTTTAATTAAATATAATACTGTGTTAATAATTAAAGTAATAATTATAGAAGTAATTATCACACGGTATTATAAGAAGCAGTGGTGAGTGATTCAATAGGATCATTTAGTCTTGTGGTTTTGTGTTAAACAAACTTTAATTTTTTTTAAAGGTAATTGAAGCATGTAGTCAGTTGGAAGAAGAGAAAATAAATTTTGGTTCAATTAGTAAGAACAATCATGTTAATACGCTTTGTTTGTTTTTACCTTGCTTCTGTTGAAAGTCCATCAGGATATAGAGCATGAGTAGTTTCAAGTGAAGAAAACTCACAGGTGTGTTCCTCATAATTTTAGCCAGAAATAATTCCTTAATTATTTTAGCTTCAGAAGGATAGATTTCATAAAAAACTTTTTTTGAAATTTATCACAATGTCATCACAGCCTGTAAATCACCACAACTGTATGCACATTTTTAAGACAGAAAGCAAGGTTGTGAACTCACAGGTTCATTATCGTTATTTGAAAATGAGTTCACTGTAGTTCTAAGGTTTGGATTTAGATGGCCTAAAATAGGGCATAATACAAGTTTGCACATGATGCAGGGCTGTCGCAATTGGCTCCTTAATTCCAACAGTTCTCAAATTTTCATTTTTCTATGTGTCTGAGAAACAAAATTTTCTCTTTAGCATTCTTAGAACTATCTTGTAAGCTTTGACTCACTATAAGAACAACCTTCTGGAGTCTATAGAAGAAAACATTTTCTTGGGTGTTTCCTATTTAAACAAGCCTTTGATAGAATTGATTGTGCTAGATTAATGGAAAGATTGGAGGACGTAGGTATCACAAATAAGTTAATTAGATTAATTGGGATGACTTTACAGCACACAACTGGTACGGTTAAAATAGAAAACTATAAATCAGATTCCTTTGATATCCATTCAGAAGTTAGACAAAGTGATCCACTACAAGCAAACCTGTTCAATTTAATATTGGAAGTAGTATTTAGAAAATAAGAGGAGATATAAGTTTTAAGATATCTCAGCTTAGTGCCTCTGCAGATGATTTGGTTATAGTAGGAAGAACCAAGAAAGCTACCGTTAAACTGGTTGCGTTGGCTTCCGCAGCCAGAGTTCCTCAGAGCATACTGCTGATGCAGCAAGGCCACAATACGCTGGCCTAGATAGCCCTAGATAATTACTGTTGAACTGTTTAATGTGCTAGAAAAAGAGGCCAAGAAAGTGGGACTCATTGTATACAAGCAAAAAACCAAAATACGTATACTTTACCAGAAACCCACGACCCCCCAATAAAAGAAATACAATTAAATAACTACCAATTCCAAAATGTCAAAAACTTCAATTATTTAGGGTCTATCTTAAATGAAAAAATTTAATTCAATCTGAAATCCATGAAAGAATAAGAAAAGGTCAGAAGGCATATTATGCTAATGTAAAACTTCTAAAATTAAAAACATTAACAATAGAGATACAAATGAAAATATACAAGACCTTAATATGCCCTATTGTTACATATGCAGCAGAAATGTGGACATTAAATGACAAGGATATTTGACAGGAAGATAATATATGGGCCAATACAAGTTATTACAGATGTTTGGAGGATAAGAACTTACCATTGAGAACTTAAAAGGGGAGGATGTCATTAGATTTATGAGAAAAAAAATTAAATGGTTGGGTCATATTCAAAGAATGCAGGTATGCAGGCTCCCAAGGAAGATAATGGAATGGGTGACAGCAGGTACAAGGAAGAGAAGACAAAGATCTTCGTGGTTGGATGTCGTGCGCCAAGATTTAAGGGTGTTGGGCGAAAAAGAGTGGAGTGTGGCCTTTAGATGGTAGGAAAAGATGAAATGACTGAATTGAGAATGCCAAGACCCACAGGGTTGTAGAGCTAATGGAAGAAAAAGGGTGTCTCCTATTTGCAGTTTTAAAACTTTTGATACACACGCCCACAAATTGTGATCCTTTTACTCAAAAAGTTAATTTGGACCAATTTGTTTACTTTTCAAAGATTTCTTTTTAAGTGTTCTCTAGCCTTCCTCCAGGTCTAAAATATTCCAAATTAATACTATGTAGTACTTCACAAATAAATCATTAAATACTGCTCTTGTAATGGTTTTATTCAATTAAAACCTTCTAATACACTACAAGAAGAAGATGAAGAACCGCCATGAAGGCTTGTATCATTAGATTTCATCCCTACAATTTTTACAAATTTTTTAATGCTGCATTGAATTTTATCACACCAACTGTGAACCTAAATCTACATCCCAGACACTCGTGCCATATCTTCTTCCATTCGCTTTCTACTTATTGTCCTGAAGCAGGTAGATTCAACACTTTCGTAATGTTCTCTGAGGTCTTGTGAACAGAAACCTATTTTTATATTATCTTGAGATCTCTTGCCTTGTTTACTGATAGTTCTATTTGCTTTTTGGACGGGCGATTCATTAAAACTGTCTTTTCCACTACGTCCAATAAATGATGTTTTAGAGAAACCTGTCTTTTGCCTTTTTGAACTTTCTAGTTCCATTGTTTACTGGGTTTACTGGATTGCAGTGAAATAATAATGAAATTAGTTTAAGGAATTGTTACTCTGACTACTGATCCACCGCGATGACATTTCTTTGAACAATTTCATAGGCCTGATGTATTGCCCATTATATATACTATTCCTCCAATAAGGTGACAAAGTGCCTCCAATAAGGTGAAAGTGTGGTGACAATTATATAGTAAATAATATGTAAGTTTAAATAGCTTTAAATCAAGTCATTTGCTATTTCCAGAGTCATCGTGATTCTTTACGTTCATCCATTTTGGATATCCAAGGACAATTGAAAGAAAGTTGTCTTATTCGAAACACACAGATTCTAGCTGAATCTCTAGCAAGACACATCTTCAACCTAACAGTGGGAGAAATCTTTTCTGACAATTTGGTAAGTGACCATCTTTAGATAATCATTCCGTCATAAATTTATATATGTGTAATTTCAAATGTGCATCCATTGAATGCAAGAATGCAGAATTCATTTGTAATCTGGCTGGTTTGGTATGCAAAATTTTAGTACTTTTTACTTTATTGGCCTTCTTCCTATAAAGAGTAGATAATCTTCTTCCTGCATGTAGTAACTTACTTCCTTTAACACGTCTAGTCAGAATTCATGTCTTGTTGGTCCTTAATACCGAAAAATCAATCGTCATCAAAACGTTTGGGTGTCTGTGAGGTCAACACTAATGCCTAAACTATTCAGACTATTTTCTCCGAAATTGATATTCCCTGATTGATCTGAATGATCTCCAGGCCCTGCAAGTTTGAAATGAATATTTTGATTTTCAGAGGTACTTTAAGGCTTAACAAAATTTTCTCTGATTTTTTTTATTAAAAACGTCTTTGGAGTTGTATAAAAAAAATGCATAAAGAACGGCACAGTGCCTTCAACATCCCTATTTTTGGAAAATTGCAGAAGTTCACAAATTTTTTTTCGGCCATCTTCCTACAGTTACAAAATTGAAGATCGATGTTTGTTTTCCTTAATGAAATGTACTCTTTAAAGACAGGTTTTGAAATGAGGTCATGTACCATTTTATGAAATACGAGAAGTTTTTACAGAACTTTGCATGAAATATAGGCAATTTTCAAACAAGTTTTTCAAAAATCGGCTCAAAATTTTTCCTTTAAATTTTCTCTTTGTATTAAAGGATGGTAAAAAAGTTGTCTGGTCCCATTTTTGTCAAATTCTCTGTATTTTTGAAAATTGCATAAGTACTCAATTAAAGATGGAGATAAATGAAATCTGTTCTAAAAAATCAGATCTTTAAAAAAAGGTTAATTTGTATATTTAAGCGAGTACTTTTCACATAATATTTTGCTTGAAGTTAACGCTTACTCAAAAACTGCTCCATATTTTTGCTTCACATTTTTTCCAAGGACAGAACAAGAGATGCTTAACAGAATGGCGCAGGTTTAATTTTCATTGGACTCTCTCTGAATTTTCAAAAATGGCAAAAGTTATCAATAATATCAGGAAGCAAGTGCCGTTGGAATTCCACTAGTTTTTGTGTGTCATAGAAATGTTGATGTGACACCTTCATCTTGCTGTCATGTACTGGCCTTGAGAGCTCAGTGGTTAGCATGGTATCTTCACAAAATTTGGATGGGCGGGTTCAAATTCAGTCAAAGTTGGTGTATATTTGTGGTGTGAAAATCCACACCATGTGATGTTGCAGTTTGTAAAAGTTTAAGAACTCTTAAATATGACTTGGATATTCTCTATATCAGAAACCAAGAGACTGCGCTAGTTTAGCAAATGTCAAAGAATAGACCTTCAATCTGCTTTCCAAATTGGCGTTTCTTTGGCGATGATAAATCAGCCAGGATTTTACCACTGAATTTTTAAAACTAAATTCAATTTTTTTATTTAACAATTATTTTTTGTAAAACATGAATATAGTACGCCACTATGCTTAATCATAAATGTATTTATATTCGGTTCATAAGTATAATATGAATAATATTTATTCACAAAATCTGGGTGAAATATCGGTTGCAAAAAAACAGGAGTTCATGATAATAAATATATTTCGTATGCAGTGTGGTAATTAAAAATTAAATAAATGAAATGAAATTAATTATATAAATGGGGGGGGGGATTAAGGTATAGAATGACTTGCAAAGTTGTTAGAAGAATATGCCTTTCTTTGAAGAACATTATTGAAAAATATTTCAATTCATTAACCACCATTTCTTAATTCACTGTCAGCTGTCAATTTTTTTCTTTGTTTCATGAATACCTGTTTATAATTCTTTCGTATTTGTATATGCTTCAGCATTAAGAATTTTAATTTTATTGCAGGGCGTTGAAGAGGAATCCATGCAAGCATGGTTGGATTTTCTGACATCACAGCCACGTTCAGCACAATTATTGGCTCAAAAGCCAAGTCCTTTTATATCATCTCTCCGAGATACAATGGCCAGGTATTGTCTTCCTTATTTACCTATACAAATCACATTATGCAGTTTGAGCATTATAGCGTGCTCATAAAGTTGTCAAGATGTTTTTTTGATTGTAGGTCACTGTTTAAGAGCAAGCTTTGAAACATTTAGTTATAGTTTCAATGTTTCACATTGACCTGTCTTTTAGTGGCCAATTTTTCTGAAATAATATTAATATTATTATTCTTGTTATTATTATCATCAATAAGTATAATAATAAAAAATAATTAATATTATTATTATATTAATAATAAATTATTATTATTAAGTTATTATTATTATTATTAATATATTTTTGACATTAATACAGCATACGACATGTATGACAAGTCAGGATATGTATATAATCATGCAACGTGAAAAATTTACCTAATAGCAATATGTACTCAAAAAAGCAAAAATTTTATATAAGAAGTTTTAATAATTGAATATTTTGGTTACTAATAATTTTTACCAAATAAAGAAAAGAGTGGGACAGACTATTCATAGAAAAGGTATTCTCTTCAGAATACTGTAGTAACAGATATTTCTACTTCCAACAGCCTCTTACATTTTGAATACACAAATATCTTTGTATAAAACTGATTGCTTATGTGAATTTTATCTGGTATGTTACAAGGGAGTAGTGTACCTCTTTTTGTCAAGAAATATTTTCATTCACAAAAATTACTCATATTGAAGAATCTATAGGGAAAAAGAAGGGATGTCCATTTTTTAACATTTTTCAGAAACTGATTGTAAAAGTTTGAAACATAATTAGAAAAAAATAATAATGATTGATAGGTAATATTCATTGTTAAACTCGTTTATAAAAGATTTTATTAGAATAGATTTGTGGCACAACAATAAGATATTGCAAAGGCAGTGATTGAAAAACTGAATTGAGTTTGAATCATTGTGATAGCTTACAAGGTCTCTTTCAAGTGAAAAGTGAATAGATGGACGAACAATTGGATTTTTCCATTCTTCAGGAAGTTCAGATCTTTTTCTGTTTATTTGACACATATTCTGATTGCTTTCTGTGAGTTGGAAGAAGTTAAAGGAGAAAGGAGAAATTGAAGAAACCTCTTTCATTTCATGTAATTAGGTTATTTCACTAATGTGTTTTGACCACTACTTAAGTCAGAGAAAAGTTTAATGTGGCAAGTATTGGAGGATAATTGAAATTGAAAGAGGGAACCTATGAAACTATAATTCCAGTTCTTTTACATTTACAAATTCTATGTATGTGTAGAACAAATTTAGAATATGATAAGTGATGCCCATTAAAATCATTAAAATGATAATTAGAGCATGGAATGGTTGCAAAGATATTTAATATTGGCCCATTCTTCTGGTAGTTCTCAAAGATCTCTTACTTTTGTTTTTTAATGCAATCTTTCACTGATCAAATGTTTCTGCCATTGCAAGGTGCATTATCTTCTGCACTTCTAGACCTTTCCTTCCTGTTCAAAAGTTTTTGTTTTTTTTCTCCTCCTAATTGTGAGTGTGAAAACAGTTCTGTAAGTTTAATAATATTCAAAACATTCTTTATACATTTTATGGAACATTTCATACATTTCCTATATATTAAGATTATCAGGAAGGTAAATTGTAGTAGATTTTTTCATAGGATAGTTGTGTGACCACTTTAAAAAATGTTAAATGCTCATATTCATCATGTGTATTAAAAGATAATTTAAGAAGGGGGATTGTTATTTTTTTCCTCTCCCATGTACTACTGCTGATCCACTCAATTTTACAGAATATGGACTTATTTGCAAACTCTTTCCTGTCAGAAATGTTTCCATCTTCATCACAGCGTCACTCTATACATGTACAAAGCGTCATGGTAATTCAGTTTTCTTCATCCTTCTTGCTTCCCCTTGGACACTAGATGAACTGAAATGTGGTCAGCAAGATGAGAACTTTATTTATTTCATGAAATACAATGAATTAAAGTTACCAATTATTTTGTGAATATCAAAGTCGTCCAGGTTTTTTAAAACATGAAAGCACTCTGGGTGTTATTGAATCGTATGAAAATCCCAATTTCTGAAAAAAGAGGACATCCCCTCTATTTCATCTGGTCTCTTCGTTTTTGAAGGATTGTTTGTAAAATAATGATTGCTGCACTGAATTTTTTTTATTTTAAGTGATTGGTCATAATAACACTTTGATATACCATTTACAATGCAACACCTTAGGTATCTGAAAGAGGTGAAGATATCATACCAGTCTCCTGACAAAAGAGATCCTGAATTCATCTTTTATGACATCACAAAAGCTCCTGTGAATGTCTACAGGTAAAATTGTGGAATATATTTTTGTAATGTGCCAGTGTATTTTTATTTTGTTGTTTATTTTCTCTATTATTTACCTAGAGTGAAGCCTGCAGTATTTGACCTATTCCTTACCATTGGAATTGTTTTGTACCTTGGAGCGATATATTTTATTATTCAGGTATGTGTGGTATAACGTAATTTTACTACTATTTCTACAGTCTGTTTGTGACATGAATTGAAGATTTTGCTGAGCCAGAAAGTGAGAAAAGTATCTGTAATGTTTATGAAAATGTTCTTGGATATTCTTGTTTTAGAAATTTCCTGCTGCATATAATTTGGTGGCTGGCTTCATTAAAATACCAAAGAGGCATTGAATGGCTAGAACCTCCAGTAAATGAACTTCTCAGGTATGTATGTTACTTGAGTACGTTAAAAAATGTAAGTTCTGTCATCAGTAATTGACAAGAAGTTTCTAAAATTGTAATTGAAGCCATAATTTTTTCAATTTCTTTTCTTTATGTAGGAAGAAGTTCGTTTTCAGGTGATGGATAATAATTCGCAGAGACTTTGGAGAAATTGCCCCACTGCCATGTTGTTATTTGAGCTATTTCATCACAAGAAATGTACAAGGCAGTAATAATCTAGTGACCAAATGACAAGGAGGGCAAATAAGGCTTCCTTAACGATTTTTTGAGTATCTCCATTTATTGTAGCATTATTGGATTTTGAGAATGTGGTATAAAAGTTGTATTATACATTTACACAAAATATTTAAAAAACTAACTTCCATTTTCATCAACATTTTGCATGTTTTCATGTATAAACATGAACTTCAGTGAATAAGTCTAGATACTTTTGTGACATGTGAGAATGTGTGCTCTCAAAATCTGATTATGATACAGTGAATGGTATGGACGAGAGAAAAATGGAAATGTTTCACCATTTATATTGTAGATTGAAGTATATTTGAAGTAACATTTTTCACCCATTTTTGTGTTTGATATTGTATTGTTAAATAAAAATATCCATCTGTAAATTACATCTTGACTTATGTTCTCTGTTGGCACCAGTTTTATGGAGATTTCATGAAAAGACATGTACTGTTGAAATTTAGGTCTCTACCGCTTTTTAAAAAACATTGAATTGATACATTGCATTACAGTTTAGCTGTACTGATGAGAAAATTTTCCTTTATGCTTAGAAGTGCACAGTCAACAATGGATAAGTCTACAAATTCCACTCCATGAAGAAGAGTGTCTTCTGTTTGTTCTGTCATAAAAAGAAAAGCAAAAAAAGGTAATGTGTGTGGAAATTAATAAAAAATAAATAAATAAAAATAAAAAAGAGAGGGAGAGAGGAGTTTGGTTCATTGGAACTGAATTTCTTTGGGGACAGTTTTCTTTCTCACATTCTATTTTCTATTCATAAACACATTTTGTATATCCTGTGTATTGTGTGATGTAGTTGGAATCCACATTTTGGTGTCCGTACTGAAAAAGTGTTTTTCTCAAGGCAGCTGTTTATTCACAGGAAATGTGTGTGATATTGCATGTCAGCCCAAAACCCATCTAGCAGGGTTGGCCCTTATCTTAACATGGAGGATGCAGAGAAGCCTCACACATGCTCCTTTCTGTATCATTCATTGTTTTTTTCTTCATTTCATATATCACCTTCATTCTTGTATTGCCCTTTTCTTCCTCTCTGACCTTTGTATGCATCCAGCCATGTTTACTGTGTGTAGACTTCCGTGTGGAAGGGAATAGATGACCCGGGAGTTTTCTACGCATGCTCACTCACTTGCTGCCATGACAGACTCTTGGGGTAGATATTGCTTAACTCTTATTGGGTGATCCTTGACATAGTCCTTATGGCTGCAGGAAGGTATATACTGCTGGCCCTGAAACATTACCTTGGCCTCAGCCTCTTCTAGATGGGTAGTCGGGAGCTAACCCACTTTCATTCAATTGGATCAGACTAGGTCTTTGACTGAACTTCAGGGTGGGTAGGTGTTATGATGTCCCTCTGATAATATGGGGTGGGTAAGAAGCTCATCTCTTCCTATGTCCCTGTGGCAGCCTTGGTAATCCAATGCAGTGTCCCCTTGGGCTCAGTGGTGGGTGTGGACCTCGTGAGTGAATTGTTTATCCTCTCTACGGGTGCCTAACCCTGGTTCCTGGTCTCTCATAAGGAAGAAGAGACTTAATAAAAGACCGTCGGCCCAGACATTTTTTTAAGATACTACAACATGTAACTTGTAGCATACCATCAAATCCCCGGTGGTTTTTTTTTGGGGGGGGGGGGTAAAGAACGACTAGTTTAAGCGCAAATCCAAAAAAATCGTGTCTTTCCATGCAGTAGTTCATCAGCGTTTTGGAACTACTCTTTACGTTTGCCAGTCCGACGAACAAATAGCAAAATAAAACTGAAGGAATTGTTCCGCCTCCAGGTTCTTGTCCCTACCTTAAACCTCTGCAAGGATCTGTAAAAAATGAAGGATTTTATAATGAAATCAATTTCCAGGCGGAGGGGCTTACTGATGTCTGTAGGATCCAGTGGAAGGGGATTGTAGTATTCACCCCTCCCCCAACCTGAATAGATTTTCACCTTCGATCGCTATTTCATTTGGGCTCTGTAATCTGCGCGTGCTACAGTATTTATCGAATCCTCGGCTTAAGTGTCAGAGGTTCGGTCATACTCAGCAATGCCGCATGAACAGTGTAGTCCGTGCTGATTGCTGAAAGGGTTTCTAACGATTCCCAGTTCGTAACTAGCCCTCAAAGTATCCTATTTTGGCATCCATGCAATTGTAACAAATGCCCCTCGTTTTTAAAGGATAGGTATATTTTTTTAAATCCTTATCTCCGGGAAAGTGCATTTCCCGGAAGCACTACCAATTCAAAGACCTGGTAGCCCTATCCAGTTTTGTATCACGAGTTTCCAAACAGAAACAGGAAACGTGTGTGACGTTGCATGTCAGCCGCTGCGTTCCGATTGTGCTGCTTTACGTGCGTGGGCCTAACGATTGTCCCTCGGATTGAGTGTGCACCTTCCGCGGGGCACTACGACCAATCGAGATGGATTCGGAAAGCAATGTCGCCCCCGAAGCAGAATTGATACCGTTCGTGAGAGCCCAAGCCGAAGAAACGCGTAGACGTGCGGCCTCCCCCGCTCCCACGTGGCCTGGTGCCGGGCAACGTTCCCCTAGGGAACGGCAGAGGGGAATTCAGTGTGTCCGAAACGCAACCAGGCGAGTTCACGCAAGAAGATCAAAACTCTTACTGAATCAATACGTCGATGCGAGCGGTCCCTCAAGGTTCTGTCACAAAAATTAGAAGCTGCTCGCACCCGTCAAAGCTGAATTGGTCGACGCGGTAGAACAGAATAGTAAGTAATATGTCAGAGTGCAGTTGGTGATAAAACACAAACAAAAAGGAAATCAAGAAAATTGACAAGACGTCAAAAACTGTCTTGTAGTCACTGAAAAAAACAGACTATAAGAGAGCACAAGTCTCCATGGACTAGACTATTAAGCTAGCCATTGAGGATGCAGTCAAAATTATGCCGGACTGGACTAAATCATTGCAAAACCCCGTAGGAGATGCGGTTCAAGAAAAACGACACCTGTTGAAAACAAGCTAAATTCCATGGTATTCACGAATAAGTCTTTTCCCAGGTAGCCGCCGCTGGAGGTCCACCTTAGGTAAAAGACGTTCTAAAAAGATCTAAGAGACCAACTCCCAAAGTACCCACCGACAATGGAAAGGTGGCGATCAGAGTTAAACTCCACAAAGATCCCCTGGTTCAAAATATTACGAAGCGGATTACAAAGTGGACAACATCCAAGGATTAAAACGGTAATATTTCTGCCCAGATCTGGAAATCTGTTGCTAGAGACAAGTGACCCATAAACCAAACAAATAAGATCCGCGAGTAGAAGACGAAACAATAGCTTCAGGCCCTTAGAAATACTAAGACAAAGTTGAGATAAGAGTATTCAAAGTGGGAAGATATTCTGAAACCAAACAGTTCCGCAGTATAGTGTAACGCGTCTCATGGAACTGGAAGTACATTACCACTCAAGATCGAATTTTTGGAGACATGACATAAATGCGGCACTAACGATGGGATACCTTAAATGATTGTGATTCAGTCATAGAATTTCAAGAAAAGGTGTTCTGAGACCGAGAGAGATTGCCACACGAATGCACTTTAAAAAATACCAAAACTAACGAAACCATTTTACCTTAAGTGCGCAGAGTTATGTTAAGCTATCGAAATTGAAATAAGTGGAACCAATTATGGGGACCTACCTGCTTCGAATTAACGCAGGGAAGGGAAAGGCAGCGGCGGCTGGCCTGGAAAAGCTTGCAGGGATCGGGCCTTATTCTCTCCCTACTATAAGTATACGATTTGCCCTCGAAGATTCGAAACGGAAGAAAATCTTTGCGGATCACACGAATATTCTTTACAATAAAGAAATCGTAAATAGTACAATACCAGATGCTTCAAACTGATTCCGTAATAACAAATTAATGGTAAATGAAAAGAACGGTTTCATTGTAGTTTTCCATTTTAAATAAACAATTCTATACTCCACTGAAAATGACCGTGTGGCATTGACTGATGTTATAGTAATACATTTTTTTAGGACTGTCAATTCAAACCTCAAATGGAACGTCAATTTAAATGAATTGAACACAAAATTGAATTCATTATGTTATGCAATCAAAATTCTTTCAAATTCAGTCAACCTTCATAGTGCTCGTGTATATTTCACGAATTCCCGACAGATACGTGGCATAATTTGTTGCTTCCGTGCGCGCAATTCGGACGGTGCGGCCACGTTACCAACAAAAAAGCGCGCGGATCCTCGCGGAGGATTATTTCGTTTTTCCTGTGAATTGATTCAGCAGTAATTTAATGCGTCGGGGAAAAGGGGCTTGGCGAGTCGGCGGTTGAACTAGAGCGAACGGCAGGTGCTTCGGGGGCATGCCACATCAGGGGCGAGAGTTATCTTTCGCTCTCCGCCTTTGCGAGCGTCGAAAGTCGCTGGGCGTGCAACGGAACAACGGCGCACGCACATTATTCGAAAACATCTCAGGTTTAGTGATTTTAAGGTCATGAATAGTGATTTTGAACTTCTTGCCAATTACATTGCCATAGGGATCGTTAAACCCAGCTCACAATTGCAAAGTAAAATTAGAGATTTAGACACCTAGTAATAGAAATAACATTATCACGGAAGAAGGCCACTTAAAAGGTGCAGAATTGTCATGTAATGATGGAAGCAGTGCCGGCGCTAGGCATGGGCAGACCGGACGATCGCCCAAGGCCTCATAAGTCAAGGGGTCCGATGATTGGACTGATGGGAAACAAATTAGTAAAAAAATGGAAAAGAAAATAGAACTCGAGAAAATTGTTATCGTAATTTTATAAGTCGCTTAAGTTAAATTAAATTATAAGTTAAATTTTCTAACTACGGCACTAGATGGAAATAACACAAATTTGTTTGCCTAAAGAAATGTACTTGACATATACGTGACATCAAATTTTGCATTGCAGAGTCTGACTTATTGTTAATATGTAAATTTATTTAAAACCTTTTTATATCATTTAATACAATTCTTTTAATAAAATACCAATGCTTAAATTGCTCTCGCTACTTTTATTTATCTAAATATGAAGAGTATGATGGTGAAAATCGATAGATATGTGCTTTTTTTTCAATTAGAAAGCAATTACATTAATCAGGCGCCGGTCCACGGGGAGGGGAATGAGAGAAATTTCGCCTCCCAAAAGTTTTCAGTAGGTATTAATTTAACTTGTCACGAAACTTTAAAGTACAAATACTTTCATGTAAACATTAAAACTAATGAAATTGTATCGTATCATGAGCCGAGTTTAGCCTGCGTCATTCTACATAATCTGTATTATGAAACATTCGACCAAAACATTTTGAATAAAAAAAATTCCCCTTCTAAAATTCGTCTCTGGATCCGCCCGTCTTTGCAGATGTGTTTTGCTTTAATCTCAGCGGACAATCCCATACTCCACTATGCATAACATATCGGTAAGTTACCGAAATTTACAGCGGCCAAATTATTAGTTACGGTACGAAGAGTTTTGTAGTTAAACTACATTTTTCAAACAGATTATTGGCTTTTGGTCTCGGAGGTATTTTTTTATTCTCAAGAGTGATTACCAAAATTATAATAACAATAACATATTTAAGTAAAAT